TTCAGGAACAGAACGATTAAGATTGAAGATACGAAGAGACTTTTCAAAAACAGAACTTTCAAGATGAAGATACGAAGACTTCTTTTAAAAGTCGAATTAGGAAGATTGAAATTACGAAGACATTTTCAGAAGGAGAATCGAACATTGAAGACAAGAAGACACCTTGGAGATGCAGAACTGAAAGGTTGTAAATTAGGCCTAGTTAATTTTAAACTTTTATTAGCTTTTCAGACGCAGAACTATAAAGATTCAAGATGCGGAAAAGATTTCAGAGAAAGAACTATAAAGGATGAAGATACGAAGACACTTTTCAGAAACAACGATTAAGATTGAAGATACGAAGAGACTTTTCAAAAGCAGAACATTCAAGATTAAGATATGAAGACTGTTTTTGAAAGCCGAATTATGAAGATTCAAGTTACGAAGACACTTTTCAGAACGAGAATTGAACATTGAAGACGAGAAGACACCTAGAAGACGCAGAACTGAAGGTTGTAAATTAGGCCTAGTTAATTTTAAAGTTTTATTAGCTTTTCAGATGCAGAACTATAAAGATTCAAGATGCGGAAAAGATTCCAGAGAAAGAACTATAACGGTTGAACTTACGAAGACACTTCTCAGAAACAGAACGATTAAGATTGAAGATACGAAGACACTTTTCAGAAACAGAACGATTAAGATTGAAGATACGAAGACTCTTTTTAAAAGCAGAACTTTCAAGATGAAGATACGAAGACTTCTTTAGAAGCCGAATTATGAAGATTCAAGTTACGAAGACACTTTTCAGAAGGAGATTTGAACAATGAAGACAAGAAGACATCTTGGAGATGCAAAACTGAAAGTGGTAAATTAGGCCTAGTTAATTTTAAAGTTTTATTAGCTTTTCAGACGCAGAACTATAAAGATTCAAGATGCGGAGAAGATTTCAGAGACAGAACTATAAAGGTTGAACATACGAAGACACTTCTCAGAAACAGAACGATTAAGATTGAAGATTCGAAGACAGTTTTCAGAAACAGAACGATTAAGATTGAAGATACGGAGAAACTTTTCAAAAGCAGAACTTTCAAGATAAAGATACGAAGACTTCTTTTAAAAGTCAAATTAGGAAGATTGAAATTACGAAGACATTTTTCAGAAGGAGAATCGAACATTGAAGACAAGAAGACACCTTGGAGATGCAAACTGAAGGTTGTAAATTAGGCCTAGTTAATTTTAAAGTTTTATTAGCTTTTCAGACGTAGAACTATGAAGCTTCAAGATGCGAAGAAGATTTGGAGACTGAACTATAAAGGATGAAGATACGAAGACACTTTTCAGAAACAACGATTAAGATTGAAGATACGAAGAGACTTTTTAAAAGCAGAACATTCAAGATTAAGATACGAAGACTGTTTTTGAAAGCCGAATTATGAAGATTCAAGTTACGAAGACACTTTTCAGAAGGAGAACTGAACATTGAAGACAAGACAACTTGAAGACGCAGAACTGAAGGTTGTAAATTAGGCCTAGTTAATTTTAAAGTTTTACTAGCTTTTCAGATGCA